CAATGACATATTTCATTAATACTGTTAACGAAAAAATAAGAAAAAATCGGAAGAATCTATTCGTGTAATTACTTGATCCTTATTTCACAGTATTTATTCCCGTATGATATTCATCAGGCAGACTTAAGTCGTTCCCTTGCTTCGCTCCATGTTATAAGGGTCACTCGCTTTCTGATGACAGCACTGAAGTACTCAGATTCGAGTGCTCGGAAAGCGTCTTCACCATTCGCGGTGACAGAGTGGGGATATACTCTCGAGGAATGAGCCAGGTCGATAAATTAAAGAGGTCGAGAAACACTTTGTACTTGTCACTGAAAAGGGGAGAGTACTTTTGAAATGTTTTATGGGCTAAATTGTCTTCTACCTGACGGTACTTCTTAGATACATGTAACCCGAACTGCCACCGGTTCCTTGTTTGCTACCGAGCATTCGTTGCACCAGGATTACATGATTGTCTAAGCAGGCAGTAAAACTTGTATTGTGAATTAAACCCAAGCGCTACTCACATCTCCATTTCGTGAACAAACTGTCGATGTCCATGAGATATGTAAGTATTTGATATGGCTGCGAAAATCGGGGCATATCCCTAAAACCTGCTTTTTATTACCTACTGGTGTACATTAGCTTAAAGCATACCTATAAAAGTAGATCATTAGAGCCCCTTTCATTGCATCGTGCGATAACAAGCGTGTACCTGAAATGTAATTACGCTTCATTAGTTTTGTTTGAATATCAAATTCTTTTCAATTTCCATCCGGTCTTAAAGATTTGCAAAGAATTATTTTTAATTTGCTTTACGTGTACACATCATTCTATTAAGAAAACAACTACATCTTGTCTCAATTACAAAATTCGTTTCCGTTTGAACATACTTGCAAGCAAATAATTTCAGGTAATTTCCTAAGCTTTTGGTGTTCAGCTTTTCCAAGGGTTAAATTATGTGGTAAATAGGCGCCGATTAATAAGTAGATGATCGAAATTAACATTACCGCAAGACTTGAAATTATTCAAATTTGCGGAAGAGAACCAGGGACCGGTTTCATCATTGAAATCAAAGTATTGTTTGACCCCAGGGTAAACATACCCGAGGTATTTTCCACCCAAGGTGAAAATCGCATTCATCAATGTTTTACCCCGCAAGGTATCGAAGTACTCCGGTGCCAGTCGCCGCGCACTGGCGCTTCATGAGAACGTCCCATGACGTGCTTGTGGTGCTGAAAGTTCCTAATATGCAGTGGATTTCTCACCTTGCGTTACGCTTTGATGCAATTTTTCCGTACTGTGCTGTATATTCCCAATTTCGTTTCACCGTGCATATGTCGTTGAAGTCATATTTTAGCAAGTTTGTTCAAGAGACCATCACATTTTTAGGAGCAAAATCAAAATAGCGATTTTGGCATTGCCAAGGCAAATTGGTACACGACAACGCATTTGGCAAATTTTCTACTGAAGGAAAAGCGCCAGAATCTCTACAACATAGTGTAAGTGTTAGAGTAATTTGTGAGTCTTAACTCTATGTTAGCTTGTGCACGCCGCGTATGAATCGTAAATAAAATGGGAGCGTTTTTGCTTGATTTAAACATGATAATTACATTTAGAATCGATAAATCGACGCAATGTACATGAAATTTTACTTTTTAGATAATGACAAGAAAGCAGCCTAAAACACGTTGATAACTCATTGACGATGTGTGGTGGAATAACTGTTGGGAGGTCAAATTTTTCATCCTTGTGACATGAAAGAAACTATCAAACCAAATTTGCTTCTCTTTTCGAAAATCTACTCTTTGAAAAAAATTGAGCCCTGCAACTTCCCCAGTAGGTTTGGCTTCTCACATTCTAGTCAATTTGTTTCTTACTTTCCTTTTGAAAAGTGCTCTTAGATCGGTTTTTTTCAAGATTCTGGAGATTGATT